TCTCCGTGAACTTTATTTGTTTGTATTTTGTAAAAATAAATTATGGTCTCCGTCTGTGGAAAGAAGTGTCGGAACGATATCCGACGTCGCCTGCCTCAAAATCCACAGTAAAGTGATCGAGTGCACATGCACTAACTCTCAACTATATGTAAATGTGCACAAGGCCATGGGAGTGAACATGTACGTGTGACTGACCCAACTACAACACCAAGGGTTTTGAATGTTCACGCTACATGCATGGCTATAATGCTCAGGTTCATGTATGAAATGATTGTATTCAATACACTCATGATTGGGAGAACTGGGAAATTTGTTTGGCACACAAGATGCACCTGTACAAGTACATGTACCTGGGCTTTTCATATTCATAACCGGTTGTCTTCATCTCCGGAGAGGCTTGCTGCCTTTTGGCCTGTCTGTTTTAAGATTGGTGGATTAATTTATACAAAAAAATCAGAATTCTGACTTTTAACCTGAAACTGTGGCTTACTGAAGAAAATTTATCAAGGATTCCACTCGGGCATGGAAATATAAAATTTCAGGTGAAAATATCGGTAAAAATACTTAAGCCTTCATATGGCAAAAAAATAAAACAAAGCTGATATTGGAAATACATATATTCATTTTCCTTATAACATTTCCATAATGACAAATCTGTTCATCCAAACCAATTACAGGTACAAATAATTTTGGGTGCAGAAATAAGAACAGTTTCTCAAATTCAAAGAGAGGATGCAGAAATCGACAAGATGGTGATCTATGGCTGATTTTAGTGATTTCAAGTTTGTATCAAAAACAGATCTATCCACTGCAATCATTAAGAGCTTCCATACACAGCATGATACTTGGAAGAAGGGATGCAAGGTTTTTTCCTCAGTCAATGTCTTCAATGCAATTAGGTACTCTGCCACTCAAGTTGCACTAGACCAAATACGCGCCCACAGAAAACAGTGCAAAATCGCCCAAACAGTGCCCCCTGTATACTCTCGTGAAGAAGTTGGCCTCTGTTTTTTGCTGGAAATTCAAGATTATGGCCAGAAGATCACTTTTCGTTTCAATTTTATGGGGATTGGCTACGAAAAATGTTTTTAATTGGCCTTTTCCCGAAGACACCCCAAATAGTAGTAAAACTATGCGCTCACCTCTGAATGTAGCCACCCGCCTCTATTTACAATAGGCCCCGCAACTGGGGGCTTTTTGTGGAAGAAATACCCCAAACCGGAAACTATCAGTCCCAAATTTGGGGTTTATAAAAATATTTCTATGATCCCTCCTTTGTAAAAACTTATTGTAAAAACCGCTTAGGATCACAAAATATTAATGAGCTCACGTGCAGAAATACAACCATTTGGTGGAATGCACCCCTCAGTGAAATTGGCCTTATTCTCGAATCAGCCATTTTGAATCAAACACAGGCAATAACCTGTATAAGTTTTATAAAAACATAATTAGTGTGGGAATTCAGATGATGCAGTAAAGGTAAAGTATAGATAACTATACTTATGCTCGGATGGGTAGTTCCACATAATGGATGAAACCCATGCCAGCTTATTTTCCGAATTAAAAAAATTAAAGCGAGGATATAGGGGAAATAGTCAGGCTCCTTCAAATTAAGGACGGTTCAATAAATAAAGGGGATGCAGGGCACAAGATACAAAATAGCCATCTTGTGAATGAAGCGCATTGTCCTGCATCCTCTGATAACAACCCATCCTTTAGTACCAATCTCCAAATTAATTTTCAAGACCTTTCAAGCTCACCTCTCTTTCTCTTTGGTTTCTTTCTCGACTGGGGAGATTTCAGTCATTTCCCGGTCGTATTTCTCCCCCTTGCCTAGTCTCCAGAGGTTGACCTTGGTTGTCATGGAGAGCATGCAGGAGCCTCCGTATGCCATGTCCATATCTACCCAAAGACCCCGGCCATCGAGATAGGGTTTGGAAACTCGGCGTAGTTGGGGAGCATTCAGCCCCAGGTCAATGTCTGTGATTTTTAACTCTTCAATGAAGTAAGGTACCTGGCGCCGAAAAATGTTTGAAACATTTTAAAAAGAGGATAAAATGTGGTTAAAAAAAGGGCACACCTTAATACAGTAGAAAGTGAGTTTATCTGTGCTGGTAAATGTTTTACCAGGTACTTATTTTGGGCTTTATTAACCCTAATCGCCTAGGGTGTATGTAAAATCACATTGAGATTGGAGGATTTGGGAATGTAAGGGTTAATACCTTTGCTCTCAGCTTTAAAAATCTACAACAGTAGGCAAGAGACACTGTAGCACTATACCAATCAATGAAATAGAAAAAAAACGCTATGATGCTGGGCACATTCAGTCGAAATTTGAGAGGTAACCTTTCGGGTTTAATGAAGATCTTCTTTTGTGGGAAGAACATTTTCATTTTTTTACCTTTAGCTTGCTGAGTTTTTTCTGCAGTTTTTTCTTGACCAAGTCAGCCCAGCTCTCCTCTCTCAGGAAATCCCAGAAGAATCTGCCGACAAGGGCGTTGATCCAATCAACTGGCGGAGCTCCAAGGCTGTTAATCTCTGGCTTTGGCTGGCGCCTGGCCGGGCTGGCATAGGTCACATTCCCTGCCTTCACGTTCACCCCCTGCGAGACTACGGCTTCCTTGGGGTCTTTCTCCTTGGGCAGGACTTTGGCTATGAAACGGTAGAAGTCAATAGTACCCTTTTTGGCAGCAATATCATCCGGGTCAGCCCTGGCAGAATGCTGGCTCCCATCTTCCTTAGTCAGTTCCCCGCCAATCAGATACACGTCTTTGTTCAAGGTAGGGATCGGGCGCCGGCCTCGTTCCAGTTTGTCAAACTTGGCAGCAGTGTCGAACTTCCAATACCACTCCTCCTTGTCGCGACTTGTCCTTGTAAAGAGGAACAGGAAACGATCGTCACATTCCTCTTTCTTAATGTAGTCAAAGCCCATGGACTTGGCATCTGTGTCATCGTTGGTGTCAGGTGACTCCTTCCGTTCCTCGCAGACAATTTTTTTTGGAAGCTCAATACAGATAGGATATTTCTTGCTCCAAAGACGTTTTTTTACCAGTCCATCCGGAAGAAGGTAAACCTTCAACAAAAAAGGGTCAACAACATTGAAACAAAAATCACAAAAGGATGCTTAAATCTAGTACTGAAACAACTTTTGTTGTCAAAGGCAGCACTTGTATTGAACTCAATTCTGTTCAACTCTTATGTATTAACAAGAAAATTATGTATTCTTCCAGCATACTTAAATCCTTGATTCTGATTGGTTGTTCCATGGCAACATACTGAGCTACATATCTATATATATAGCAAAGTTTATATTGCACTTTGCATATTAACCAGATTACATGTTAACACACATAAATTTCCTTATTTGTTACACGGAGGTCATGTACACTCGTTTAAGAATTCTTTTTTCATTTCCGCGGTAGATGCATTAAAGGATAACAGAAATAGGAAATGTTTAGTTAACGTGAAGTATTTTGAAATAACTAATAATGGGATTACTAATAATGAACAATATTTTATTCTTTCTCTATTGATAGGTAAGTCAGTCAGAATACAACTCTGACATCAGAGGGGTGTGTCTTTCCTCCTTCTAGCACCATGTATGAGTATATTTGAATATTCATGAAAGTCTTATTGAATATGCAACAAGATAACCAGGTCACATCATACTTCTATGAAGAAATTCAGATTTATATTTGTCATACGAGTTAAAAAGGAGACAAGACATTCTTGTCCTGGTGTATTAGCAACAAAATAAGAGTAAAAACAGCAAACAAAGTCTGTAATAAAATGATCCAACGGAACAGTACCTTGCTGCCTCGCATGTCATAATGTCTTTGGTGCACAAACTCCACCTTATGGATAGTTGGCTCATTAAACATTGCGCGGCGTGAAATATTGTGCTTAGGTCGGGACAGTCGCAAGGAGTAACCATCCAAACGAACAAAAACAGACTGTGTCTGACTGGTGTGATAATTGTCAGGGTCATAGGTCATGGGTAGTTCATTCATCCAGCCCTGTAGAGAAACCAAAAATTAATGGTCAAAGGTTACATGTATTTCTTCTTCAATCTAATATTTATTGTAAAGAAGGATGTGATTATTTCAGAAAGACTGACCCATCTGTTCCCTTAAATAGCAGGATATGCCACACTGAACTTGTGTAAACATCTTTCCTGAAGAAAGAATTTGTTGTGCAGACACATTTTTTTCTGCTGATAAATGTATTTTACACACAAAACAAAGGAAAGGCACTTTAAAGGAAACAAATGTCCTCATTTTTTAATACAAAAATGAACTGATTTCAGCATCAGCCTTTCAGCTTTACAAATCCACATTTTATGGCAAATATGCTCATATCTCTCTGAACATACAAAACAAAGTTCTACGGCAATTAAAAGCTGAAGACACATGTGCCATGCAGCCTTTATAGGGAGATTTAAAAAAAACACATCCCTCCAATCACAGCAGAGGCTGCAAATTTAGCCACACATACCGAGGTACGCAGACCCTGTGCCATGCCCTTACCATAGTCATACATGTACATTTAAGGCAGCATTTGAGTGATGCACAGGGAGGGATATTATGCCAGAAATATTCTTGTATTTTGACAGTTTCCAAGATGTTACATGTACTGTTATGTACACGCACGTGAATATACTATGCATAATGTAACAACATCTCATTTGCACTACATGTACATGTACATGTGGGTGAACATGTACATGTGGGTGAACATGTACATGTACACATATACCAAAGATTGTGGTGCCACTGGTGCTCAGTGCAATTTTAAAGATCTCTTCCAAAAATCCATTTAAATTGGCTAGATTTTCAGACACATCTGATAAAAGTATACAAAGTCTAAACACTGCACACGAGGTAAATCTACATGTACATGTATGTACCATGCAATGCCACAATGCCATGTGGACACCTGACATTTATGGTGCTAATTTATTTTGACCAGATTTGATACAATTCCATCGGCTCACAGATCAACAATAGGGCACAAGATGGATCTCAATTATCATTTCCTGGGCACAGACTGCTATTACCTTCATATTGAGCCTACTCCGTTGGACAAGGTGCTTATTTCAAGGCTCCAACATACATGTTACTCTCAGTACAATATACACTTAAACAGATACATAACTGTAGAAGCATTATTTTGGAGGGCAGTACCGTTTTCCTATTTCTGAGCTTCATTCAGGTACATGCACATGTTTGCACAACACCTGAATCACTCAAACTTTTTAGAAAATTAATGCCCGACTTAAAATGGCTTTTACAGCTGTCTAGCCTATCGTACTTATAAGTGTCAAGGGCATTGTGCCCATTTGTTTCAGCGCAAGCTTACATGTGCCATTGCTTTACTAAGTTTGAGAGGTTTGGGGTTCCAAGCAAATTATAATCGAAGGTAATACATATGGTTAAAACGGAAAATGCACAAATGGCAAAACACCAAATGTTTTCCTAATAATGCTGCAGAGTACTTCATTGGTATCATTGGTCATCAAATAATTCTGGCTAAATACCACTGCACTTGTACATGTACACTGTAGGTATACTCCATTTGAATTTGCTTGTACTTCTTTTTTCCACATGGAATGTTTACAAACACATACTAGTCTCTATGCCAGCAACTAGTCTGGAGACCGGATTGGTTTCACATACCTGTATATGCGATAATCTGAATACGGAGTGATTTAGCACAACCCATGTACAAACTTATTGGATTTTGTTGGCTTCCTTTCACGTCTGCTGTACCAATTTGACACACTTATGTCCATGTAAGGCTGTGGAGGGTAAGTTGCCTCAAGCCTCAAGTAATGAGTGTTTAGCATTTTAATTTTTGCTAAGATCAGCATTTTTACATTGCTAGCATTTTTATAACATCAGAAAAACACAACCAAACAAAATCAGTTTACTCAATCATGCTGCACATACACTCATAATAGGTTTCAATTTGATCACAACTTATCAAAACAATTTGTAGATAAATTCCTGATTTACTCTAAAAATTCTTAAAAAGTAATCCGTCCCGAGCTGAAGTGCACCACCAATTGGTGTAACAAAAGACAGGTGGTTACGAGCGAGTTCGTGCACACGTTCTGCGTGTGCACAAAGACCATACATACTGGAGTAAATTAGTTAAGTGTACTCAGCGTGCTCCACATTAACACGTATAAACATGTACTTGCAGCCTCATGGCGTGCCTATTAGGTGAGTACCAAAAAAACCACGCCCTCTTTTGTTCCGCCCAGAGTGGATAGCAGATAACATATTTGATTTTTGATAATTTAGATTTAATAGCTTTGACGAGAAAAGAAATGATGAGAAAACAGATTTCTTCACTGACACATTTGTTAACATGGACAGGTTCCAGACAAAGCTACGAGTAGCATGATGGTTTTTCTGCAATAACTACAAGTTACAGTAAATTTCATCAAACTGAACGGAGTAAATTGTAAAAGCTGTTGCTTGGAAATATGTGTATTAAAAAACAATCCTCCTTCCAATTACCACTGGGAGGTAATTTTAAAACCATATTTCAATGAGCTTGCCAGGAGAAAAACCAGTGGTGATTTCATAGAGCAATTTAACAGACCAAATATCAATCAGTAAAGTTTCTGTGCAAGCAAACATAACCCCCTCATACCAATGCACTTGCTAATTGCTATTAATGCAAATATCCTAATGACCAGCTACATGTACATGTAACAGTAAGTAACAGTAAGTAACAGCAGCTTGTGCAAACAAATGAAACTGGATACGACAAGGGTCAGAGGACATTACCGGGTACCAGCAATTTGTGATATCGGTACTTCTGTTTTAGCAGGAAGAAGAAAATGACTGTTCAATTCTACAGAATAACACTGGGGAGGGCTTTTAAATCCTATTTGTTTGTAAGCCAGGTTAATAGATTTAAAACGAATTTATTTTCCAGGCTTATCTGATGCTGAAAGAGAAATTCTGTGGATGAATACCATTTTCTGGTAGAAGTATTGCCCGTAAAAGCTGGGAAAGAAAGTTTCAAGCTTAATCTCAGGAAGTGTCTCTTTTGGAAAGTTGAGTGTTTTTGTGACAAAAAAATTAATGTAATAAATGCATGTAAGCACAATGCAATGCTTATGAACAATCAAAGGGTTTCAGATTGTTGTTAGCTGAATGACACACACAAAAGGCAAGAAAATAGTCAGGGCGAGATTTTCTTGTAGAGATAGGTCTACAAACACATGTACAGGTGGAATGCACTGCCTACAGACACACACTTACTAAATTTGGCAATATATAATTACACGTACTTATGAGTATGAGCAACAAGTCTACTTAAAAATACAAAGGGACATCACCTGAGATTTGGCCCAGTCATCTTCAGAGAATGGCGGCTGTGGGATGAAGAATGATGACATGTGGAGAAAAAAACAAAATGAGATGAGAGAATAACAACAAACGAAAGCATGAAATGTACATGTATGATGAAAATGGTTGCTTGTTTCATTTGGTAATTATTCTACCAAGCTATTTGCGATTTTTTAATATGACTAGTGCTCTGAAACTTACCTGAGTTCAGTGCTTATGAAAATTGCACCTTTTAAAATGCCTTCAGTTGCACAAGTCAGGCTAGGAGATTTCAATATTAGGGTGGACACTGGATTTTAACATATGATGGAGGATGTTTCTTAAATTATAT